TGGTGATTATTGCGTAATATGTTTCGGGCACAGTTGTACAGCCGTTCCTGGCAGGTACGTATTAACAGTGATTCGCTTTAACACGCCAAGTTACTGCTGCTATACACTCAAACCTCATTATAATGAAGTCGCATCTTACACGAAAATAGTTTCCTTGTAACCGAAAATTCGTTATAAAGGCATATTCCTAGCAGTGTTTATTGAAAAGTACTTTTCATTTACTTCGTTATAACTGATATTTCGTTATACAGTTGACCTCGTTTAAAACGAACTTGAAAGTGCCGCAATAAATGGTCGTTATACCAGTAGTCATTGTATATAGACCTGCACATGAAAACGCCCACTTAGTGGCCAAGCCAGACTGTTTTTTTATTGCCAGACCGTGTATTTATTAGCCAGACCGTGTATATTTATTGAGAAGTGCCAATCCCCCACTGACAAGTTAGGCTTTTTTTCATGTTAAACGACGCCCGTTTGTTCACGGGGGGAATTCAACCACGCTCACAATGAACTCATGCTGTTCCACTAAAGCACAGTACCGCCACGTCGAACCAATCATCCCTGGCTACTAGCGTGTAGCACGTCGCTTACTCGGCTCTCGCCGTCGCATGCAGTCCAATGTATGTGCACGTTTGTGCACTTTCGCATATGCTTCACTCGGGATTGTGCTCTGTTGCGGTGAGTAGCCTGCTTGTTTAACACAATGAAGAATTTTGCAAGCAACACATGTAAATGGCAGCATGATGCCCTTGTACTGCCGAAACTACATCGAGCAGCTATCTTCAGATGACTGTGATAAGACAAAACCGCACGTTCATCGCCAACGGCCACCTCGTCATCACCCTTTTTTATACTTATCTGATAAGGCACAGCTGCAACTGCATGGAAATCGATATCACTAATCGACCTGTTTTTGTCGTTACCGAAAAATGGAAAACCTTAAATGGCACGTTGCAGTGTCGGAAAGTTCAGTTTCACGCGACAAAAGTTACTGTCTCTTGCATTTATGGCTTTTTGCGTTTGAAGGCATTGTTGGTTATTCGTCGGTGGTCGTAGATGCCGAGAACGGTATCAGAAAAGTTTGCCATGTGAAAGCTGACCACAAGTCTTCATGGTGCCTCCCATTTTTCTTTTCGTTTTTTTTTCTCCTCACTTTCGTTCTGCCAGTAAAGAGATGTCTGGAAAGTGAGCGAACTCACTCACACTGTCTGAAATCTGCATGCAGTGCTTCCCGCGGTCTATATATCTTCGTCGCAAGCAAACTTCAGCGAGGTACACGCGAGCATGCCCCTATCACATGCTTTAGAATGCCCGCTTTTTTTTTTTACTTTTTTTCTTATGTATACGTTATATTTTTATCGTGACAGTGTCGGAAGTGTTCATTGTAGAATTAGGAGGCTTTGAAAAATGCTCGTTGTAGGTAGACTTAGTTTTAGAGGGTAGCACAAAAAATTCGCAAGTTCATCGAAATATGGGCGTTATAATAGTAGATCGTTACATCTGATCTCGTTAAAAGTGGATTGGACTGCATTTAAGTTCGTTGTACAGTCGAACCTGAGAATATCAAACTAACCAAAAAGAGTTTATTAGTTCGATATATGGCATAATTCGATATAGGCCCGCTATAGGATTTGATGATGCGAAGGCACATCCAATAAGAAAAGTACTTTATTAATATGATGACTGCATACTTGCATGCCCTACTTCAGAACAAAATAGTCGTGGATTTTCTTCTGTTTCAATGGCTTCACTGCCTGCAACAGCATGCACGCCTCCACGTTGTCCAATGAGTCGGAGCAGATGAGGCCGCAACCTTCCATTATCACACAATAGCGCCGGACCAACGCAAGTGCACTAATCACTTTGAAGAATGTAGGCAACAGGCCATCGTCAATTTCTTCATTGCGGTCGTGCTGTCTCATGGTCGGCACGACATCTGCAACGTAGTCCTCATCTTGTAGCTAGGTCAAGATGGTGACATCATCGTCCACACTGACGAACTCGTGGATCCCGGGAACTCGACGAACCCGGGAACTCTGCCAGCTCGCTCCAAACTTCAGCGGAAACACCTGCGGTGTCTTCAGGGTTGTCATTACAATTCAGGGTGTCATCACCAGGCATGTGGAGGCCGGCATGCCTAAAGTAGTTCTGGATTGTCTCCTTTGTGACATCTTCCCGCGATCTACTCAATAGAGCTCTGAGCAAGTCGACCTTCAGCTCTCTGCCGACAATTTTTCTCGCCACACTCGACTCGATTTACGATTTAGAGTTTCGCGGCAAATGGCTAATTCTGCCTCTTCCCACAAGCCATGACGACACCGCGCCAAGAAAGTTCACAGAGCTCCAACAGGCAACACCACGGTCACGAGCACGGACCATGCTGGATGAGGACTCGAGGAAAAGAGGCAGCAGCAGGCATACAAACATTAGGAAAAAAAAAAAAAAAATGGCGCTCACTTGTACCGCATCCACGCCTTGGAGAAAACACGACGGCCTCCGATTGGCTGTAAGTGCTGCGAGGAGGCCACGATAATTTTTTGCAGGGGGGTGTTCGCCCGTGCACAGCTGTGCCTAAACTACTTTTTCTTGAGTTGGCGCCAGCAGTTTTCCCCGCCACCACGAGGGAAAGCCAACTTGCTGGGGCACTTTTGAAGTACATGGAGTTTCATATATCGGTTCTCGTTGCCATTTTCGTTCTATGTAATACAGTGAAAGCTCGTTAATTCGAACTTTAATAATTCGAATTTATGGATAATTCGAACTGTAAGTTGTGGTCCGGCCAAGCTCCATACAAGCCTATGAACAAAAAAGCTCGTTAATACGAACGCAAGTAGGTTCCGCCGCAGATAATTCGAACTACGCGCCGGCAGCTTGGCTAGTCACTCGATAGGGCGGCTGCCGAGTTTCGAGGCGGCATTGACAGGGAGCGGAGAGAGAAGCAGAGAAACTGGCACAGAGACCAGAGTGCAGAAAATAGCGCCACTTACTCTTCCCCCCCTCCCCCCACAATCTCTCTCTCTCAGTGGCTGCCTGCTCTCTGTCCTACGTAACCTCCAAGATTGTTTTTTTTTTTAAGAGCCAATCTCGGAGCCTTTGAAAATCCTGCGTAGTTGTCGCTGTTAGATGACAGATGGCATGACCAGCACACAGCAAATTGGGTGTGTCGTAGCTTCGCCCAGTTTTCTCTGCAGTCTGTCTCAGGCATGCGTCGTACACCTCGGCTGTTAGTGCTGGGAGTAGCTTCCGACTGTCGAGATTCTTTGTGTTGGTGTTAGGCCTCGACTAACGTTTGTTGCGGCAGCGCCGGTAGTAGTTTCCCGTCTGTCGCGATTCTGCTGCTCCGACTTGATGGCATGTGCCCGCGGCAAATACCGTGCCAAAACACTTCCTTCCAGCAAACACGACAAGCTGGCCTTCCTTCCAGCAAACACGACAGCGGTACTGCAGCCCATAGACCAGGGTATAATTACAAATTTAAAATCATTCAGCGTCATATGTTGGAACGAATTATTTTGTGCAATAACTACCAAGTGACGCTCCTAAGTGCACTACACATGCTTGTGCGTGCTTGGGAGCAAGTGACCGCGCTTACGATAGCAAATTGCTTTTGCCACTGTGGCTTCAACACCTAAGCTCTGCAAGCTGACGAGCCACCATTGCTTGAACACGGCGTCACCGCCCCCATGGCGGACGTTTTGGAAGACGTCTGCTTTGCGGCCCTTGTCGATGTGGACTCAAGTGCAGTGGTGTGTGGTGCACTCACGGATGGCGACATAATATGTCAGGTGAGAAGTGCAGAACCTGTCGCTGCCAGTGACGATGAGGAGGAGGAGGACGAAGCACCAGTGCGGCCCTCTGCTGCGGAAGTCATGGCCAGATTGAATGTCGCCCGTTTTTTCTCAAGTTTTGAAGAAGGCGGAGAAGAGGCCTTCCACCAAGCTCGCTCGTTCGAGCAAAAAAAGCTGGCTGTCGCCTTCAAGAAAAGAAGGCAGACCGCGATTACAGATTTTTTCAAAAATTAAATTGTTATGCCCTACTCACAGTGTACTATTGTTGTTCATTTTCGTGAGTTCGAACTTTCGTTAATTCGAACTGAGGCGGCTTCCCCTTGCAGTTCAAATTAACGAGCTTTTACTGTAGTAACTTTTGCTATATATTCTCAATGTAAATTTACAGTGTTCAGAGGTTGTTTGATATGCGGGATAATTTGATATAAACGGGTTCGATGTAGTCAGGTTCGAGTGCATCAAGGTTTGAGTGTACTTTGTTAGCCAACACACTGGGTATGTTCAGCTTGTCTGTTTGGCAATCAGAAATACATAAGTAGGAACACACATTTTCATCTATGAATGGGTAGTATTTGTTGGAAGGACTGCTTGTCTGACTGCAAATTCTGGTAATCAATAACAGCAGTTAAGTGTACAAGAAAAGGATGTTATATATGTTCACGTGCAAGTGCTTTCGCATAATTTTTCACACAGGCTTACATGATTTCGATCTTCGTACCTCTGAAAGAAGCAAGTATACTAACAGCACTCGTTGGTGTTGACTAATAAATCGGTTTTCTGAGTTGCACCCAAGCTGTATGACGATGTGGCCATACTAGCTTTAGACATAGCATTGAGTAACCAATTAATTATTTTAATACAGTTTGTTCCATACTAACTGATGGCCTTAGAAATTGAAGCTAGTTTGCTACACTACAAACAAAAGGCTCTTCAGTTATCTGACCAGACAAAGCTGAATAAAGCTAATCAGCTTTGTCAAAACTCCTTTTCATGAGGTGTTACTAAAGAAATAGTAGAGCTTTCATGTGAAAACTCTCGGCCTTCAAGGGGCCTTGGGAGCTTACTTTCCAATTTTAAGGTTTTCAATGGTTCTAAGAATCTGTATGCACTCTGATAAATATCAGCTACATTTGCTTCTAATTAGCTGTATTTGTTCATTATTAAGCAGGCCATCCAACACAGGGCCATGAGAAAAAAAGAGGACAAACTCACAGTGGCTTCAACATGAATGAGGCCATGTTTTGAGATTGGGGCCAGAGCAAGGTTCCGAGGCCTCTGGTAATGCAGATGCCAGAAAACATCAGTCAAGAGGCTCAGGAAATGGCTGTCTTCTGAAGGTGACAATGTGTTGGTTGCTACGTGTACCTTCTCAAGCAAGCCCCTCTCTTCAAGCACCTCTTCCTTGTGCACTGTAAAGAACAATACACTGTTATACAGACTAACAAAATAGATCCAGTGTTTATTCTTGTTTCATACGCACACCATACATCAATGAACACCCTCTGTATTCACATACATTCATGTGTAACACACCAAGCAAACTTTCATAACTTTGGATGTACATTTATCAGTAGCAGTCATTGAAGCATAAACTATTTCAAAATATTTTAAAATACCGACATGTATGTCTAATAATGATCTATTCATTGCTGCTTTTCCTTGTTTTATATTGTGATATAAGTTCTATTGGACATGTTAACAACAAGGACATATGTCAAGAAGACGACATTTACTCGATCAGAGCTAGCCCTGCCATTCCTACTTCCTTCTCTTTCTCTACTTCTACCATGCGTCCCCCCAAGCCCATGCCCTACTGTTGAGTATGATCCGTGGACATCATCGTCTCTTCATCTTTGCCAAAAGTGGCCAGAAGCATCGAATTCTGAATGAACAGTTCCACACTGTCGCACGCCGTCAAGTCCAATGCTATGTTATTTCTTTCAACTTCAATCAAATTATTTTCATCTTTTGCTTGACTAGCAGAAAATCCACTTTCGCACTTAGAATACGAGCTTTCGCGACCTGTAATGTCTCTTTACATGCTTTCCACAATGTCACAGTCGTGCGTGGTTTTATGGAAATCAACTCGGTTGTAGTTTTCACTTTTATGTCTGGTGTAACAAATCGCAGAATAGCTGGTGTCACTTACATGACCAAACAGTTTGCGTTTAGACAGGAAATACTGCCCCTCAGCGATTGCATACACGATCTTCTCACGGTAGCGTGCAGCATCCTCGAGTTCCTCGTCAACTGCCTCATCTTCAGTTACGTCGAGGATGTGCTTGTTCGATTGGCAAAGCTGAGCTTCTTTAGTAATAAAAACGGTGACTTGCCTGTTCACCTCATGTGCTTCGGTGTCGGAGTCTCACAGTAGTCCTATCTGGAGCGCAATATCGCATGAGACACTGGCCCTGACAGTCCCACGCACCTTCCGAAGACGCTAGGCTGACAACATCGCAGTCTCAGAACGACCACTCCCGGGTTTCACAGCACCAAATTTTAAGAACAAGGACCCGTGGTCGTAGGTCAAGAAGACGACGTTTACTCGATCAGGGCTAGCTCCGCCATTCTACTTCCTTGTTCTCTCTCTACGTCCATCGCGCATCCCTTAAGCCCATGCCCCACTTGTTTATTTTCAACAGGACAAATATTCTGTACAGTTAAATTGGACTTCTTTTGCCACAAAAAATTGTATTCAAATGTAACGTCAGTAAAGACTTATACATGCTAGCGCTGAAGAGGAGAAACTCCAGTGTACACAAGCACAAGTGTTAAAAATATCCATGAAGTGAGCCCACTTTTGAGTTGCTGATAATGCTGAAACCTTTGTGTGCAACTATAAGACATGATAAAGTTTTATGCATTGCTATGTGACTGTACGCTTTCCAAAAAGTACAAAGTTTATTGAGCATAGCACCAAAGACAGTCTGAAACAAAGCATGAAAATTCCCCTTGGCTGAACCGAATTTTGGCTTATTAAATACTGAGCAAGCATTCCAGCCAGTGCATGTGCATTTTTTTTTTTTGGACCCCGATATTTCAGTCCTGAAACTAGCCCACTGATATCAAATTAGTTGGCTGCCATGAATGTGCTGCATCTCAACTCCAGAGCAGTGTTTTGCAAAACACAGAAGTAGAACTTTTATAACCAGAATAGCAGTTGCAAAGAAATGTTCGCTATATTTCTCTAACTCTCAAATTTCTGTGCTCATAAAAATTTGTGTGGCACAGGGCTGGGCAGCATCGCGATACTCTTGCATCATGATATTACCTTAGAGAAACCTCTGAGTATCTATATTTTTGTATCAAGATCCATTTGCGAAATGCACTTGTATCTCAGTATTAAAATACTTTTATCATGTATCAATTATATCCCGATACAATGCAAGACGTGTGTGTATGTCTTTACTTTTCTCTGGAAATAGGTTGGCATATTTCCAAGGGTAAGGAAGACATTTTTGTCCAATTTAAAGAGAAGGCACTCTACCGGTGAGTGGCACAGTGCACGAGGGCAGCAAAGGGTTCTCCACACGCACAGAATGGCGCATGTGGCAAGAGTACCTGATGCCGCTGGCAGCACAATCGCGGAGGGAGTATTGTCATTTTTTACATACAAAAATAACTGTCCCCCAAGTAGATGTCGCACTCCAATTTATTTTTTTTTTTTTTTGCATGAAAAGCCATTTCGGGAGTTCACGTGTCTTGCCTAAGTGAAATTAATGTTCTCGACTCGAAACAACTTCGAGTCGAGAACATATGTATGCCTTTTCTTAATGCAATGCCGTTTGATAGTGTTTTGGGTAATATTATTGACTTGAAAGTTTCAACATGAGGGCACATTATACCTAATACTCTGCACCTATTAAATGTCTGCACCTATTAAAAGAGAAGCATGAGCAACTTTAAAATGAACAAGGTATTCCAATATTTGTATTTCTGTATCTGCATCTTTGTAACTGTATACAGGGATACTTTTTCCATCTTTTTTTTTTTAAACGTATCTTTGAAATACCTCATTACGTCACAAGCAAACGTATCTGAGTATCTGTATTTCAGGCTTCCAGTCCTTGTATTTCAATATTAGTATTCCGCGATACTTTTTTGGGTATCTCTGCCCAGCCCTGGTCTGGCAGATGCTTACCCAGTACAATCAAACTTAAAAAAAAAAAAAAAAAAGGATTGGCAAACACCTATCATAACAGCCACACTTACCACCACAGTCATCACAAAATAAACATTTATGTAGGATGTGCTTATGATGGGTGTTACCCGATTATGTCACCTAATTTAAACAATAATATTATTACATCCCAAGATACCAGAAACAAAATACTAGCATGACTACTTTTAGCCTTTGGGAGAACTAGACGATTTAAAAAACAAACTAGCATAGCAGCTGTTTTTCATGCGACCAACCATCATGTTTATAATACCGTAAAAGCCCCCATATAGCCCCTTTTTTTCTCTAGATTTTAGGGTGTAAAACTTCAGCCCAATATTGTATGTGGTGTAGTGTACACATATCCCGAAGGAGTATGACACTAGCGTGGGTCCGGTCTTAGCGAGCCGCAGGGCACGCGTTAACTGTCGCCGTGGCAAGAACACGGTACTGCTCAATGTCGCAACACTTTTGCAACGGGCAGTACAGCCCGTTGCAAAAGGCGCTGCGGGAAAGCAAATAGGCTTATCCACGGCACGGTATAGAAGTACTATACAGGGGTACCGCGAGCATGTTTCCATGGGCAAAAGTGATTAACGAGGATACCGGGACAAAGGGCCTGGTTCCTCCTCGAACGAGGGCAAAGGCGCTCGTGTTGGCTTTGGCGAGATACGGGTCGAAGTAGCCTGGCCATGCACTAGGACACCGTACCGCTTTTCGGCCTAGCGTATGAAAGAAGGGCAACAAAAGGTAAGCGTTCGCCGCAAGCGCGAGGCGAAGTCTGAACAAGCCCCAAACAAAGGGAGCCGACGGAGGGAAAAGAAATGCGTGCTTATCCCATGCCGTCCCGGAGAGGTTCCCTCTTGCTCCTAATGCGCATGCGAGAAACTTCCTGAGAGACCCTGCGCACGGCGCCACAGTCGACATCTGCTACAGGGTGAGAGTGGTTAAACGTCACTCCCCACTGTTTCAGCGGGGCAGACTATGGAGGAGGGAAGTCATGTCGGGACATGAGAAGGCAGAAAGATGCAGCGGGATAGCCTCAATTCCCACAGCGGGTTCAAGAATTTTCGGCCGAAATTCAGTTTTCGTTTTGGCATAGCGTGGTGCTATTATCCCTATCAGGTGTTAGTGTGCTTTTGCGCTAGGTGCTAGGTAGTGTCAGCGGCAGAAAGCAGACACTGGTCTTACAAACCCGTGCATGCAACAGTGGTCAGTGGCCTTTCCTTCAACTTGGCGCCCATAACGATGGCCATGATTTCGCTACTGTGATTTTACGCTACGTCAGCACTGCACAGGCAGTACTCTGCTGCTAGGAAAGTTATCAATGCTGCCGAACCCATTGGCAACTGTGCCATGGAGCCACAGTTCGGAGTCCAATGAGCAGAGTATCTGCAGTTGGCAGAAGCAGAAAAACGCCCTCTTTGCTTGCAGGGGCCAGCGAAATAGCTTTCGCGAACTAAAAAATGGAGCGTTCCCTGACGTGGAACAAGAACTCGCAGACTTTGTGTGGGAGCAGCGAGCTGCACATCTTGCTGTTAACATTGTGCTGCTACAAGTGAAGGCAAGAAAGATCGCCCGAGACAAAGGCATTCAGCCGGAGGATTTCATCCACGAACCAAAAAATGGAGCATTTCCTGACGTGCAACAAGAACTCGCAGACTTTGTGTGGGAGTTGCGAGCTGCACATCTTGCTGTTAACTATTTCACTACCGCGTCTATTCAAATCATTCAATTTGAACGATGCATTTCAAGTTTGAATTCTCGCGCCGCCGCGCATTTTACGGGCGCCTAACGGCATCTAAGTTAGAAAGTGAGAAACACACAAAGAGATCTGCGATGTTTTGCTTGTTTTTTGCTACGTAGAAGTTTTCTCTCACCGCGATAAGTTTCAGGTTGTAGCGCGCGCGCGTCGATCATGGCCTCATCATTGCGCGTAGACGCTCCCAAAAGACCACACGTTTCTCGCGAATCCAGCTCATCAACAGTCGATTTTGAGGATGTAATCAGCAGCAGTGAGTCTGGAGAAGATGTTGACTCATCAGATTTTAGCCCCGATGATGAGGATGCGTCAAGTCAAACCACAACGTCCGACAGGTGAGTGTTTGCTGTGTGCGAGAGGCACACTTTGTTGACTAATCAGTGGTTACGAGTGGTGGAGCGTGTACTCACAGCAATTTTATTCATTTTCAGGGTCTCAACGTTCTACGGACATGATTCTACGGACACATCTGTCAAGCGTGTACAGTTTCTGCCGAGACGAAACCCGGGGGTCGAAGTCGGCGGCGCGCTCTGGAGTAACGCACGGCATTCGTCCGGGCCGTCGATTTCTTCCAGTTGTTTTTTACCACGCAGGTGATAAGCGTTATCTGCGAGTACATGAACAAATATGAGAGGATGCATATTTAAGATAGGCAGACGTACGCGGAAAGAGACGGCTGGTGGAGGAACTTCAGTCCCGATGAAGTGATGAAGTGCATTGGAATGCTCATTTACATGGGAATTGTTGAGTTGCCTTGCCTTCATCTGTATTGGAACACCTCAGAATTATTTTCTGGCCTCATTCCTCCGAAGATTATGCCGAGGAGCAGTTTCTTTGCGTTCCTTGCCTTTCTCAGTGTCATGGAAACGGAGCAGACAGACCCCGTCCGCGATGGCAAGCTGCACAGCATAGCAAACCTACTGCAGCACATCAATGACGTCTCTTCGCAGCTTTTTCAGCCATACCGCAACGTGTGTGTGGACGAGAGAATGGTGAAGTCTAAAGAAAGATCGGGAATTCGTCAGTATATGCGGGACAAGGGGGTCAAATGGGGGTATAAACTCTGGGTCCTCGCAGACTCAAGGACAGGCTACACTGTCCAATTCAGTGTTTACACCGGGAAGAGAGGCACTGAGCTCAAAGTGACTCGCCTATGACGTTGTAACGCGCCTCTCATTTACCTCGATAACTTTAACATCCACGTACCGCAACGTGTGTGTGGACGAGAGAATCCACGTCTCTGTTTGTGCCCCTACTTCAGCGGAAAACTCTGTCTTGTGGAACAACACGCATAGATCGCCGCGAATTCCCCTCCAAGCTGAAAGATACCACATGGGAAAAAAGAGCAGCTCGAGGAGACGTTCGCTAGATGCGATGCAGTGATGTGCTGTACTTGAAGTGGAAAGACAAGCGTATTGTAAACTTGATGAGCACAACACACACAGCAAACAAACACGTCATTGCAACGCGAAAAGTGAAGAGGGCAGACAGATGGACCAAGATTCCCGTCAGGAAGCCGCTCTTGATAGAACAATACAACACGGGCATGCTTGGTGTTGACAAGTCGGATCAACTCATTGCTTTCTACGTGTTGATGAAATGCGTGAGATGGTGGAAGACGCTGTTCTTTCACTGCATCGACATTGCCATCGTGAATAGTTTTATTTTTTTTGAGAAACACTGGAGGGATCACCCTGAAATAGATGAGCTATCAAGAAAGACTGGCTTTGACCAGCTCGCATTTAGAATTGAGCTGATCAACCAGGTTCTGGGCACGGACGAAAGACATGTTACCCCTCCTCCACCTCCAAAAAGTCGGAACACAAGCCCCAGGTGCAAGAAAAACGCCGAAATTGCAAGCTCTGCTACGACAAACGAAAGACACAGATGAAAACAGCAGTTTTGTGTCAGCAATGCGGGGTCTATCTTTGTTTCATCCCGACGAGGGACTGCTTTCGAGAATGGCATGAAACACACCCTCACTAACTTTCTTTTTTGTGGGAAGAACAGTTTTTCGCAATAATTTTTCAAACTTGAACAACCTTTTTGCAACATAATAAGCTACAAATTTCATATATTCAATTTTTTTTAATCTCATTATTTTTTAAGTTATACTCCTTTGTAAAGTGTTAAATGTATAAGTACTGTATAAACTTTTCTAGATATTTTTTTTCATTATTATGTGTAATAAATATATGTACAACAACAATTATGTTTTTGGACAGAGCGTTCTTTAAGCTACATTTTGGTCCTAACAATGTAAATAAGGCGTTAGTATCTACCCGTAAAAAAATTATTTTTCACACCTAGTAAAAACGGCCCCGTTTCCCGCGGTAGCGAAAGAGTTAACATCGCGCTGCTACAAGCGAAGGCAAGAAAGATCGCCCGAGACAAAGGCATTCAGCCGGAGGATTTCAAAGTGAGCTAGCATTGGGTTGTCACCCTTCATGCGCCGCACAGGGTTCTTCTTACATCAGCGTACGCCAATCTCTCAGAAGCTACCAAAGAGCTATGAAGAAGACCTTGGGAACTTTCAAAAGTATGTAATTGCGTTGCGAAAGGCTGTCCCCTTTCAACTGGGCCAGATCAGCAAGGGGGACCAAACGCCAGTCTACCTGGATATGCCCTCGGCGCTGATGGTGCACCAGAAAGAAAGGCTTCTGGCAAGTTATCGTGCGATCGACGGCAAACCGAAAAAACGCGGGTGACTGTAACGTTGTCCTGCACTACAGACAGTTGCAAGCTAGCTCCCTACATGGTGTTCAAACGAAAGACGCTGCCGAAGGGAGAGAAGTTCCCAAAAATGTCGTCTGCTGCGAGGACAAGGGGTGGATGAACGGATCTTTAGTGCTTGACTGGATAAAGTCTGTGTCGGTGTTGATGGCCTGGAGCGCTGCTGAGGTTCCCTTCTATGCTTGTGCTACATAGGTTTCGGTGTCACCTGATCGAATCCATAAAGCGACTGCTGCGCGACTCCCGTACCAAGCTCGTTCCAGGATGACATCAAAGCTGCAGCCGCTTGATGTCTGCCTGAATAAGGCGTTTAAGGATCATGTCAAGTGCCTGTACGTGGAGTGGATGAAGTCCGGAGAACCAGAAGTGACCCCTACTGGACGGCTGAATTGCGCCTCGGCAGTGATGCTGTGCTTGTGGATAGTTGATGCTTGGGCCTGCATTCCCAAGGCGCTCATTTGTCACACGTTCAAAAAGTGCTCCACCTCGAACGCGTTTGATGGCACTGAGTTGAGGATGATATGCAATCGGAGAACATTCCCTACAAAGGAGCTTCGGAAAAGAGTGCGTCTGAGGCGACGATGTATGAAGTGTGTCAATAAATGCCTTTTTCCGTTTTACTCGAGCTATATTCAGGTGAAAACTTTTTTTTTTCTCGCGTTTGATATCCCCAAACTACCCCTCAGACTATATGCGGGTCCGAGCTATATGCGAGCTTTCATGGTAGTTGTAGAGTCATTTGACAAATGTGGAACATCAGGCACACTCTGGACTGCAAAGAACATATCACGGTAGATAAAGATTATAGAGGTAAATTTAGATTCAGCCTTTAATTTGCAAGCATGTAGACAGCCGACTGGAGCCTTGTTCAAAAGGCTGTCATTGGAGCAGCCGAAACGCTTTAAAATTATTACTCTTTTTTCTGGTTGGTGTTCCCCTTTTACTTTTTATGACATTATTTTCTGAACAGATGGGCTCCCGTCAAAACCTAGACTTTATTACAAGCTGGTCTTTACAGTGGCTAAATAAGGCAGCTACTGTGCACCTGGGTGTCGACAAGCACAATGCTTACAAAAAGCGGGGTCGTGATAACAAGGAACCAAGACGAAAGCAGGAACTCACATTCTTCAGGGCCTTCTGCAGGGTCTGCAATGACTTCAAGAGACTCTGCAAACTGAACAAGGTTTGCAGGCCGAGCACAAGCTACCCCACGGGCAATGGCCACCAACCGATAAAAGGCATCACCATCAAGGTCTTGGAAAGGTGGCTTTTCCTGGCTGCTGTGGATCAGGCATTCTAGGACATAGTCCAACAGAGCTTGATCCTGTACAAAAAACATTCATTCCATATACAATGTTCCATAGCATACTATATAATATTGATAGCACCTATAGTACACTTAACATAACCTCACTGAGAGCTCAATCTTTCATCTATTTTGTACATACAATATGAAAATATGTCATTTACCAGCATTATGTTAGGATAGAGACTTAATCACTTAGCTTCAGTTTTAAAAAGTCAACTTTTTACAAAGCTTAAGAAGCTACCATAGCTTCTTTGGCAGACCCGCACTACATCAGGAATGTGCACAGCTAATTATAATCACAGTCATTTAAATAGGTCAACACAAAGTTTTGAGATGTAGGCAAGTATACTGCTTCAAACGCTTCGGCGTATGCCACAGTGAGCTTCTCAAAATTTTGCATCTTTACCTTTCCCATTCCAAGCGTTATTGGCGACACTTAGGTTGCACCAAATCATGTACAGCAGCGAACACGTCTGTGTATAGCGCACGAGCAGCCGGTTTTTGCTCTGCGGGTGACAACTTCAGTAAGTTTCAAGCTCTGACATGGTGTGTCGGGAACATGAGCGACCTAGTAGTCAGGCTGACTTCGATTGATGATTGATACGTGGTGTTGAACATCCCAAAACCACCATACTATAAGAGATGCCATAGTGGAGGGCTCCAGAAATTTCGATCACCTGGTGTTCTTTAAAAGGGTACCGACACAAACTTTGACCTTGCATTTTTCTGATGCAATATGCTGCTGGGGGCCTGTTAGTCACGACACGAAACATCAATTGCTGCAGCACGCAACAGATAAATAATTATAGGCCCATCATTATCGAGCAGTTTCAGTTTCGATTTGAGAGAGCTCCAAAAGCAGGGTGCAACTATCGCTACCTAGTGTGTGCAGCTTTTCATCACGTCAGCACACAGAGCTGTGACACACTTCCACACTGTTCGCATCAAGAATTACTTTCGAATAGGAAACGAACTGCAGTGTCACGAAGCACAAAACTTTCAAAGCGTGCGCCACGGCCACACACTTACAACCAGCCGCCGAGAAGTATAGACTCGACAACAAACATGGCAAAAAAAAAAATAAAAAATGGCGGCTATGACGTCATCACAACTTGTTTTATTGACTGCAGCGTGGTGAAGGAAGGGAAATAGGGGGTCCCCAAAGGGTCCACTTCGAGGGTGTCAATGACTCGAGGGCTCACGCAAACTCTAAAATTAACTAATAATACCTTATGACATTTTGCAGATGATATAGGAATGTTCACGGGAATCAACCCCGCAGGCCATCTCGGCCAGCAAATTTTGCGTCAGTACCCCTTTAACGTGCACCCATATCTGAGCACACAGGCCTACAGCATTTTCAACTGCATCGAAAATGCAGCTGCCGCAGCCGGGATTCAATCCCACGACCTGTGGGTCAGCAGCCAAGTACCTTAGCCACTAGACCCAGGCTGACCTCGTCAGAGCCAGGAACTGCCTCAACATGTTCCCCGCAGAGAAAAAAACAGAGTGCTCTACAAAAACTTGGTCGTGGCTGTACATAAATACAATACGGCCTCTGCATTGCCTCATTCTTGATAAGACAACTATTAAACACCAAACTGCCAGCACTTCATCAACCTAACCAATAGAAACACTTTCAGGTCGCCATCTCATAAAAATATGCTAATAAATTTTCTTTTTTTTTTTTCGCGATTTCACATCGAAGTATTACAAAAATATTAGAGAAATATTAGAAAAATATTCGATTGAACTAGCACTTCAATATACGAATTCGCTTCGCACACAAAATTTTGCTATTTGCATTACTCCAGATATTCGCACGGGGTTTTGCTACACAAAAGTGACTAGACATATCATGTGCCAGGCACAAGGTGTTAGTTAATCAACAGGAAATGTTGCATAATTCAACAACTTGTTTTGTTAATATGCCAGTTTCTTAAGCAACAGCCAAGTAATGAATGCAATAGCAACCAAGTTGAATGAAATATAACGTAAGACCACCCAGTAGGACACAATCCGGCACAACTCGATAGAAGGCCAGCTGTCTATACACCAGAACACAAAGCGAGCTCAGTGCTTTCTGCCATATTGAGAAGCGTTTGGCGCAATCTATTGCAAGCGCGGCGAAGCAACACCCTCAACTGCCATGCTAGCAGATGCTCTGCAAATCGGGAATTTGATGCCGATTTCGTGTGAAACGTCGAGGAGACCTTTCTCAACCGTCCGGAATATCTGCAGCATGTGGATTGTAGACTGCGGAAGCAACTTCATCACGTACGTATCATCCAACTGGAAGAAACATGAACAGCATTAACTGCGGCGTGCCTTGGCTCGGCAAGGCAGAATTTGTGCTACAAGCCGGCGTCAACATAGTGTTAGAATATGGCTACAATTCACACTTATGCACTCCATGTGTATCAATTGCCAGTCCTGCCGGGCACTTGGAACACACACGTGGTGCAAAAGTGCCAGCCAGAACAAGATTTTAAAATGCTACAGTGACGCCGGCCGAAAGCACATGTTGATTCGTCTAGGGACAGTCAAGGCATGTCGCAGTTCGACCGAGTCGAAAGCCTCAAGTTCCGCCCCGTTCAAGTCTCTTTGCATCGCAGCAGTAGGATGTTACAGTTGTACTAAACATGCGCGGTGCGTGCATCCACGCGTGAGTCGTAATATGATATGCCATTATTGACATGCAGCCTGCGAAAGAGTACGGCAACAGTTTTGTGCCGCATACTACAGGCATACTGCACGCAAATCGCTGCTGTAATGTGGAACAGCTGGAGTCGCACTTGAATAAACACAATAAGTATACTTACTCGTACGCTTTATTGGGCTCGTAGTTTTTCCTGTCGATTGTGATTATATCTTAAGGCGGCGGAGCTCAGCATTTTTTGTTGTGGGCGGAAATCTGTGCAATCGCAAAACAACGCACCGGCACGATTCCCGCGATTCGCTGTGAACTTCACAGGCAGTGCTCAGCAATCTCTTCCTCTTACGATGGTTGTTGTCGCATGAGATGACAGCGCAGTGGTACCCAGATGACATTTTATAAGCTGGCGCAGTGTGAACAGGCACGTTTTCACTTTTTAAACTCCCACAGCCACTGCATGCTATGCTAATGAGGCGCGCCGTAGCAGTTGCAAACAAGTTATGGTGTCTCTGGGAGCGAGGGTATACCACCGAAGGTGCCTGGGTGCGAGATAGACGTGCTCTCGTCTATTGCTTGAACGCGAAATTAATGGTGCATGAGTTTTTTTACCAAGCAAGAAAGGTGGTTAAAGATCCTGTTTAACATGACTCCACGGCCAAAATGAAACCTGCGCAGGGTCATTTACCAAGACAGTTTGAAAAAACTGTAACGCCTGGATACGATTCAATTTTGAAACTTGATTTTTATACTTTGCATTCATCGGGATTTTTGCTTACTAAAAACAACATTAACACCGCCACTGATGCTGACACAACATTTCCTGTGACATAAGCCCTTTAACAGTTTAAACCCCAGACCGCCCATTATACAGTAAAAGCTCGTTAATTTGAATTTCACGGGACCGGAAAAACTGTCCGAATTAACCGAATGCCGAATTAACGAATGAACAGGGAAAACAACATTTAAAATCAAGCTGCAGAAGCATACCTTTATTTGTTGAAGTATTTTGAAATTGTCGTCTGCGTTTTCGCGCAGATACCGGCTGACATCACAATTTTTCTTAACTGTTCCAAATGGCCAACAGCACGCAAGCTGTCGGGAGTGTTCAGGCAAGCGTCCTCTAATATTAACAGCGCCTCCGAGACTTCCCGTGAGGTGCGATGAGGTCGCGGCTGTATCTCCTCGCATGATTCTTCGTCAAAATCGGGGTCTTCATGGGCGCCCGTGACATCATTAATAATCTCTTGATCGGTCAGGAGACCACTCGTGGCGACACCATGATCAATCGCGATGTAGTCCTGAAAGGTCACATCTGTGGGAAGGACAGCATCGAAAGTCGGGCAGTCATCGTCGGTGGACTCGGCTGACACCTCCTCGATGCCATCGTCAGCTACTGCTGCATGCTCGGGCCTCACAAAACCGCTGTGCCGAAAACAGTTGGCGATGACTTGCGGCGGAGTGTTTTCCACACGTGGGCGATGATTGTGCACAGCGCCGAGTAAGTCCACTTGATACAACTTTCCAGCTTCTGAGCATAGGATCATTCGCTCTAGCAGGTGCTTGCGGTACATCGACTTCACGTAGTGAATGATACCCTGGTCCATCGGCTGAAGAGCCGACGTAGTGTTGGGCGGCAAAAAAACTACTTTGATGCTCTGCAGTTCGACTGTACAGTTATGGGCACTGCAGTTGTCAACAACCATAATTATCTTGCGGTCCTTCGATGTGAAGTGCTGGTCCAACTGCTGCAGCCAGCCGCGAAAAATCCGATGTCATCCATGCCTTCCTGTTCGCTGTGTACTCGACAGAAAGGCTTTTAACGTTCTTAAAACAACATGGCTTAAGCGCCTTCCCGACGACAAGTAGTGGCAAGCGCTCCGTGCCAGTCATATTGGCGGCAAGAAGCACAGTTATCCTTTGCTTGCACTTCTTGCCACCAATGCACGCGTCCCCGTTGAAAGTCACCGTCTTGTCGGGCAGAGCTCTGACCTCATCGCAACCTCATCGCACCTCACTTCCCGTGAGGTGCGATGAGGTCGCGGCTGTATCTCCTCGCATGATTCTTCGTTGGAATCGTGGTCTTCATGGGCGCCCGTGACAATCATTAATAATCTCTTGATCGTCAGGAGACCACTCGTGGCGACACCATGATCAATCGCGATGTAGTCCTGAAAGGTCACATCTGTGGGAAGGACAGCATCGAAAGTCGGGCAGTCATCGTCGGTGGACTCGGCTGACACCTCCTCGATGCCATCGTCAGCTACTGCTGCATGCTCGGGCCTCACAAAACCGCTGTGCCGAAAACAGTTGGCGATGAATTGCGGCGGAGTTTTTCCACACGTGGGCGATGATGTGCACAGCGCCGAGTAAGTCCACTTGATACACTTTCCAGCTTCTGAGCATAGGATCATTCTCTCTAGCAGGTGGCTTGCGGTACATCGCTTCACGTAGTGAATGATACCCTGGTCCATCGGCTGAAGAGCCGACGTAGTGTTGGGCGGCAAAAAAAACTACTTGATGCTCTGCAGTTCGACTGTACAGTTATGGGCATCTGCAGTTTGTCAACAACCATAATTATCTTGCGGTCCTTCGATGTGAAGTGCTGGTCCAACTGCTGCAGCCAGCCGCGAATAATGTCCGATGTCATCCATGCCTTCCTGTTCGCTGTGTACTCGAGCAGAAAGGCTTTTAAAACGTTCTTAAAACAACATGGCTTAAGCGCCTTCCCGACGACAAGTAGTGGCAAGCGCTCCCGTGCCAGTCATATTGGCGGCAAGAAGCACAGTTATCCTTTGCTTGCACTTCTTGCCACCAATGCACGCGTCCCCTTTGAAAGTCACCGTCTTGTCGGGCAGAGCTCTGAAAATAGAGCAGTTTCATCTGTAGTGAACACGTCACGTGGTTCATATGCGGCGATGTGCTCCAGCAGCTTCACATTTCTCTACTTGGTGGTCACGCTTTCGTCAACACTGGCCTTTTTCGCCGCACACACTCCTGAAGACAAGTTCGTGTCTCCTCTCGAACCTCGCAAAACCACCCTTCTGACGCTTTTAACGATTGCAATGTTCATCATTGCAGCGTACTTCTCACCTTGTGCCATGATGAGAGGTCCGCTCAAAGGCAGATGCGCGTTGCGACAGTCAGTAATCCACCGGAGCAAAGCTTCTTCGAGCTGGGGATAAGCTGCGGTTCGCAACCGCTTTCTAGAGGCATGAAACTTCTCACTTTCGAAGGCTTGTCGAATCTGTTGTTCATTTTTCACGTACGTTCCCAACGTGCTCTGCTTCACGTTGTACTTGGTCATAACCTGCTGTCGCGATTCGCCGTTCTTCAGTGCTTCCAAAATTTCCACTTTAGTCGCCAAGTTCTTCGCGTCGTAGTTCTGCCGCTTTTTCGGCGTTGCCATCACTGTAGCGCACGATGGTGGTGGCATGCAAATACGGTCACAATGGAAGAAAAAGAGAACTCCGCAAGAAGAGATGGTTCCGACACGACAACACAAGGGAAAATGGTGTCGGAGGCGCTGAGTGGAGAAGAAAAAAGACGCCGACGTTCGGTGACGCTGCGATCGTCCCCACTAGTTGATGATGATGGCGATGCCACTCAGGTTTCGGTTTCACTCCAGTGGTGCCAGCGCTGCTTTATCACACTTTTGTGTAGCAGCAGCCGTCAGCATTTGTCCGAATTAAGCGGTGCGGAGCTGAATTCCGATGAAATAACGAAGGCTTGGTCCCATAGATTAACATGCACTTTGGCCGGGACCAATAGAGCCGTCCGAATCATCCGAATTAACGGGTGTCGAATTAACGAGCTTTTACTGTACTGCCAATGAAAATGGAGAATAATGCCACACTCCTAATATTGAATATCTAGACACCATCCCTTGTCTTCATCCAAATTAACGGGTGTCGAATTAACGAGCTTTTACTGTACTGCCAATGAAAATGGAGAATAATGCCACACTCCTAATATTGAATATCTAGACACCATCCCTTGTCTTCCCCAGGCAAATACCAGATAAAGTATAAGGAGCACAACAAACCCTGTGGCTGGTGTAGGCAGTGCGGCTAGGATGCAGAGCAGCCAGGAGTGCACGAACTTGCTGGTGTACTGTTGGCGGAGTGGGCAAAGTTAGCAGGCGTGTGGCCACCTCCAAGGCAGTCCCTTTTGCATTTCCCGACAGCCACTCCTCTGACAATGAGCTTACTGAGAAGCAGTCATCCAACAATTCCAAGCAACTGCTAGTGAGCCTGGGAAAAAAAAATGAAGCCAGGAAGGTCTCATGGTTTTGCAACAGGCAAGACAGCTTCACAAGGCTGGCTTATTTGAAACTCTAACACAAAACTACAAAAAAAACTGGAAGGATAGGGAGCTTCTATCACTTTCCTTACTTTCTAAACAAGAGACTAACTATTAGCTCCACAGAATATGACAGCATGGGTAACAAAAGAACAGAGTTATAGGTAGCCAGTACTGTGCTATTCTACAATTTGTGCTATTTATAAGCCCATTGAGTGACAGTGACAATCACCCACTGCACTGCGACATATGCAGCGATTTCTCCTCTAGGAACGTAGCCAAGAACGAATTTTAGCACCTGGTTTTGGAGCTTTTTCCTCAACTTCGCTGCTTGGACAGGCATACAACCATGGAGATTTATTCCGTGCGCTCACTCACACAGCTCTCTTGTGCTTATGGAAGATGGCGCCAGTTGCTCTGCTGCTAGTGAGTCTAGCGGTAATCCTTCTTTTGAGGACTATTCCCCAAGTGCCGAATCCGATTCATTTTATTTCAGTTGATTAGATGAGGATTTTACTTATGAGTTTAACCATCATGAAAAAGCAACATCCCAAAACCTTCTGCAGCGCCGATACGATTTGGATTGGACCGAAGGTGACTACTTCCCCAGTGTTTAGTGTTGGAGCAAAAACATTTTTCACCAGAATAGTAATTTGGCGTGCTTATTTTTGTAGGTTCGTGAGCTATATTTATTAAAATGCATAATTCTTATCTATAAAAAATTGCAAGATTTTTGTTTAGCATTTTGCTTGATGTTAGTATCAATAAACTCTTATCTATAAAAAATTGCAAGATTTTTGTTTAGCATTTTGCTTGATGTTAGTATCAATAAACTATACGTAACACCATTTTTTCATCACTGAACAGCCACAAAAAAAAAAAACTTTTAGACAATTTTTTTCTTAAGTAGGATGGTCGAAGAACTAATTTTAGCAATTAAAAAATTGCACATTTTTGGCATGCATTTTGCAAAAAAAAAATTCCATCCTGAAAGGGTAGAATGTAGAAAAAATTATGCATTATTGCACCGGCTTTCAATATGGTAAAATCAAAACACATCGCATTATACAAGGATGTGAGTGCACTGAGACAGGCTCCTTGCAAGTCATGAAAATCAGGTGTTCAGATATCACCAGTGGTGCTACCAAAGTCTTCTGATATGGAGCAATTTTTGGAGCAGCAAAATTTTCATTTTGGAGCACTTTGGAGCAGATAATTGTTAATCTGGGAGCACTCTAGAATTGCTAACTAAACGGGAGAAGCAAGTTCTATTTAGTACATTCAAGGACATGAATAATTATTTTGGGGCTCTTGTGCAGAGCTAGAAATATTTCGATGAATTGCAAATCTCAGAGCCAATCATTTTTGGAGCACTCCTTATTTCAGCCGATTATGCAAAAATAATGACGTCATGCTTTTGAGCAATCTGGAAAAACATGTTCAGTAATTATTTTCGTATCAAATAGGCTGGATACTGGTAGATTAAAATTGTACTTCATGAAACACATTCTAAGTAAACCTATGTCAGCAGATACAGTAGACAAACGCTGTGACGTACAATGCTAGAAACTCAGACAGTCCCAACTACATTTCCCTAAGATGACTTCAAGAATAAAGATGACTTCAAGAATAAAAAAAGGTTCTTTTTCTTCACTGCTGGGTGCAGCATGTCGTCACTTAGCTACTAGTCTCATAAAGCCAACCTCCTCCTGCATTAATCTCTCTGTACTGAAACTACATGGTGTAACAAACTTCATTTTTCTTTTGCAGTGAAGTTTTTATGTGGCTGGGGCGTTCTGTCAAAAGCTCTGTACAGTGTCCTCTCGAAAACAGTGCAAAAAGAAAAAAAAAAAAAACCCTCAAGGGGTACTTTTCGCAAAGGCCCAAGGCAACTCAAAAGCGAGAGTCATTTTGTTCTTATTGCGATAGCAATTACATGGCTATTCTCGACTGGCTTCTGCTGTTGCCAGAGGCGTAGGCAGGATTTTTTTTCTATGGGGAGGGGCATCTTGATCTGGAGGGGTACTGGGCAGGCAAATAATCATTTAGCGTTATATGTGCCATGGCAAAAAAAGGGGAGGGGGGGCACCTCATGTGCCACCTCATGGCTACGCCACAGGCCATCGCAGTCATGTTTTGTGTAATGTCCAAATCGATAACATCACCTCACCTGCCAGGCCTACCATTGATTGCTACTCAAGCACAGAATAAAACACCACCCCCGTCTTCAAGGAGCAGGATAAGGAACTAGGAATGCAAAGGGAGGGAGGGGGCATTGCCATGAACTGACTTAAAGGATGTGATAGCTGGTGCGTGCACTATTTTGACAGGTATTGCAGATGGCTTGTATACCCTTCTACCTAGTACTCTCACCACAAACAGACTGTGCGAAAGGTGCTCCGCTTTCTGGAGCGGCCATACAAGCATACGTATGCACTGAGTTTTGATCGCAAGGCGGCCACACCATCATTTTGCCATTGGAGGTATATTCATACGTGCCGTCAGTGCTGTACGTGCATCGGCGTACAAGAGGTGCTTTGGGGGCTTCTAGTCATCCAAGTCGCTGGACGGACATTGAACACCGCACGTGCAGCAAGTTTTTTTAGTATGCAACTAGTGTGCAGACCTTCGAAATGGCAACCCCGCCGCTGGTGCCCCTGGCAGATGACGTCAAGCCTTACTATTTGGTATAACAATACAATTTGTTCGTATTGCATGCAATCTTAAGTGAAACTACCAAATTGTATCTTTTGGACTTGATATTGCATAACTCAACAGAACTCTGGATAAAGAGACAATGACCACTCCAGTTTCCGAATAGGTTTTTGAGCTGCGAGTTATCTGAACACAAAGCAGACATTAATAGCACAAAAAGTTCAAGAGAGGTCTTATTATGCCTCGAGATTGCACGTGCCAGTGACAGTGCCCTTCAAGCGACACAGCCTCTCACCCGCCTAAAACAAAGCAATAGATGCGATGCCATGATGTTCAATTTATTTAACCCTCATCTATCGATCCCAGAAAGTGAGAGGCGGACGTGTAACAAGGCATAGCTTCTTCACAGGGGGCCTTCCTACACCAGGGCCATCAGCGATAGGCGCACTACTGAAAGCTTTAAAACCAAACTACGGCTGCTCTGATAAGAGGCCTGCTTTTATTAATGAAATCACATTAAAAAAAAGAAAGCAAAAATTTTGGATTTGGACCCTAGCAATCGCGAGTTCGTAAGGGCAAGGTCTTCTAGAGGCTTTTACCGCAGCAGCAATTGCAAACGCGGATCCATATATTGGCGGAAGGAATTATGAAAAACCTTTTCTAATGTAAAATCCACGAATATTAAAGGAAAGTGTCAACGCGTTCCCACCGTTCGTGTTCTTCTGTGCACGCGAAGCACGGAAAATTACGTCACGATGTCCAGAAATAGACGCGACAGACATTCTGGTGGCACGCATGCAGTTATCAGTGAAAATTACTGTAATTACGTGCCATGCAACTCTTCAAATGAGCTATCAGCAGCGTTCCTAGAATGAACGGCCTCAGTAGATGAATCGTCGCTACAGTTTCACACTCTCGAGTAGGCTAGACATCACGAGCTCCCGCGGAGAACACGTTTTGCCACTGAGTGGACTTGCACAATAGAAGTTGCGTTCGCAGCAAACACATATCATCATGGATAACTTGGGACACATGCGGGACCGCTGTTTATTCAGTGGAATAATTCTATAGGTACATGGTTGTGACTTTGGTGGCTACGAGAACCAGCCGCACATGTTTTGATGCGCCGGCGTGGCTATTGCCAGTGATAGAAGGTCCCCAATTCGGCTTTGGTGCAGTTTGGCGCATGTTATCAGGATGGCGCAGTAAATCTGATCTGGTGCACATGGTGTAGGAGTGCAACCCTGACACATGAAGTGCTAAAGTCAGAGCCACTACACCAACCAAATATCAAGTTTTCCTTTTTCAATAAATGTACTTTCTATTACAGGAACAGAACAACTTCAAAACTTCAATAAATGACTTGCCTGTCGAGTGCTGTCAATGGCAATGGTGAAAATGGGATTCCATCAGAGTCAATTCCAGGCACCCCTACCGCACTGTACTGTGCTGCAACACCCACCCCTGTTGCAAACTCGTCGTTCTCCTCAGGCCAACCAAAAGATTCCTTCGACTTCCCATAAACTTTGACAGAATCCACCATGGTCACACAAGATGGGTCAGTACTTGGTCCAAAGAATAAACTGATCTGCACAGCACAAAAGACAACCCAGAATTTGTAGCAGACAGTGCTGCTTAGTTTCATTTAAAAATTATATACAATGAACACTCATGTCGGAACACAAAACTACTGTAAGCCTGACCATGCTTTGAAATTATAGTTTCTACGAGGTGGTTTCTTAATGTCACGAAGCAAATAGAATTTCATCTCTGCAAGAAGCCCTGCAACACCTTTTTAAGTAACTGTCAAATGATCTCTCTAAAGGAGTTAATCTCAGGAATCTTTTACAGCAAAACTTTTTTACAATCAGTTCAGAATACACAACGTTACAAGCATTTATTGCAGGCTCCGATCACTCATTATCTCTTCTTTCGTCCCAACAAACATGCTAGAACCTAGACATAGATGACAAGGGGGCAAAAAGACGCGACAGCGTGTTATAGCCTCAAGCTTTTTTTGGTATTGTTTTTTTTTTTTGTAACATGCTCCACGCTTCGTGTTCAAATGAGCACCACGCGAGTATATGGCGAAAACTCCTCACAGCCGTGGTACCGACACAGCAAAGGAAAAGCAACTGTCAAGCCAGCCGTGCTCTGCGGGAACCTGGTGCACAATGGCTTTTTCCTGCATCAGCTATACCTGAGGATAATAACCTATTTGTATCAGCGAAATTTAAAGTGGTTTCCATCAGCTAAGCATTAAGTGATGTCAGGCAAAGCATCTAGATAGTGAGGCACGTAGAAGACACATACATTGGCAAATGTATATGTTTGTAAAAACAACCATGTGCATAGGTAAGTGCTGCTGTACTGAGCTTACTATGACACAAGTGACTGACTAGACACACACAGTTACAAGTTGCATGGTTGAAGTATGACTGGTCGCACCTTCCATGGTGCCACAGGGCATACTAGAAGCAAAATACTAGGCAGATAGATGGCCATCAACTGAAACCAGAAGAGGAAAAATGAGGTAATTGCTCAATGTTTGTGAAAACAGATACATATTTATAACTTGTTCAAATAAAAAAAATATTACAAGTGTTACTGAGAATGCTTACAAAAACGTGAAATCAACCAATGCCCTTGTTATCTTACTGATGTCACAGTTTGTCGAGCAACAAAGGCCAGAAGATGTCACAAAGAGCCAAAGGGTGTCACATCAATAAACCTTGTTTTGTGCGGACCAATGGTACATGAATTTTCACACATGAAGCTCAAGCTAAAAATGAACATGCCTCATAAGTTATGCTTTTAAAGTGTAATACAGTAGACTCCCTTCAAGACGAACTCGAAGGAACCACGATCATTTGTTCGTCTGATCAGAAGTGCCCTCAAAAACCAAATGCTAACATGCCAAGTATGCCCAAATATGTTGCTTTAAAACACTTAATAAAATATACTTATAATGATGAAAAAAGGAACAAGAAAAAGCATTTATTTCGCTCAGCTTGATAAAAACTACGCTTTAAAGTCTAATGAGTACCTACTCTATTTTGCAAATGGATAACAAATAGGTATGCTCATGAATAAATTGCTACCACATTTTAAATGTAAAACTGTAGCACTACCCTCGTCTGAGGATTATAAAAAGATAAAAAGAGAAACAAGCACAATTTTCCTTCGAAGAATGAAAAATTTATTCTTCTAGATGTTCACTTCCCGAGAGGTTGTTTTACTGGCTTTGCTATTACTTTTGAACGCGCCTCTATAGCATACCGCTACCTTGAAAAAAGCCAATATATGCCAAGTAGCTCATGAAAGTCTTAAGCTTTTTTTTTGAGCTTCGGATATTTTCTTTTTTCAAACTGCAGTAACGTTTCCTGAACGACATGCAGCTGAAGGTCTCCGTTTACGCTTCTCATGATCACAAGTCACACGGAAGGACATGACTCAGCTCTACTTAGACCGAAAGATTACCTTTCTTCGTTGTGCATCCTCATAATAAAAATGGCACGTCACAATTTCCTACATTTCCTCTGATGGGATATAATAGCTGATATGATAGCTCCTCCGATAGCTGCATATATGGTTTTAGTTTGATGCGATTATAATCTACAGACAATATTTATTCTCATTTTCGCTTTCATTTGGCTTTTTTTTTTTTTTCGTTTTCCTTCCCTTGCATCTTCCCCTCTGGCCAAGCGCTTGTGTTCTTCTGTTCTCTGCTGTACTCCTATCAGGGAACTTAAGAACATGAGGAAAATACGAAAGGGTGGACGTTTTTTGTTGCTTTCTTTGCTTATAAAGTCGGCCCTTTCTTCACCTACAGGCTGACCTTTTCCACTTATCTTGCTTTCTCCCTCCATGTCGTAATTTTGTTACGATTTCCTTTTAGTCTACGTCAGGACGTTTTGTATATTTGCTTTCTCTAGTTTGCACGGATGCCCCCATCAAGACAATAATGCTCGTTGTGAAGAATTCCCATCGTTGTTGGTTGCTGCGAGAGTCTGTCTTAAGTAGATATTTTTCCATTGAGTCTATGGGAAATGAAACAAACACTCCCATGTTGTTTGTCTTAACAGAGAATTCCCATTAAGGGTGGGCATGGGTCTTTAAACGATCAAAAATAGCCAAAAAACTGATTTTTTGAAAAACTTATTTTCGGGGCGCTTGTACCTAAGCATCTGCTCTCAAACTATTAACGCCGAATTCGGTCGGGAAATGCGATCAAATGGGCCTTCAAAGCACACCGGCAGAAGCAGAAGTAAAATGCCTCCAAAAAGCAGAAAATTTGTTCAATCTTGACGCGTGTGCCAAGCACCAGCATCTTGAGCTAGATTTGAAGCTATTTCCTTTGTGCGCATGGAGGAAGGAAAGCTAAGGAGAGGCCCTCGCAAGGCAAGCTACAGAGCGAAAAATGCGGCAAAAGTCACGCACTTTTGCAGGGGAGTTGTGGGGCAAGGTGGGCACCCCAGCGTCTCGTGCGCCAACGAGAGGGAGGCACTGAGCACCCATTGAGCATTCGCGAGCAGCCGTAGCATGCCCACACATGAGAAAAGAAGTCCCCTACTCTTCCCTATTTCCGGGTTCACAAAATGCGACGTAACGGCTTTTCCTTAGTTTATTCCTTCCTCCATGTTTGTGCGTAATTTGTGCCATCTCAAAATGGCGTCGTCCAAGCACAATGGCCACCTTTTTTTTTCTTTTTTTTCTTTTTTTTTTTTGCCGTTGGGGCTGTACGATCATATACATGTACTCTGGCGCTCGTGAACATTTCTCAACACACCATGTTCATGCATTGAGGCGGTAGTTTTATCCCCGCAATTGAGACGTCCGAAGACTTTAGTCTGAAACCGTCCTCTCAACGAGCTTTTGGAAGCGATAAAAAGTGGGCTCAGAACAAGATGGCGCCGGTTAGAAGTGCACTGACAGGACGAGAGTTTGGTGGTGTCGGTGCCCATTAGGCACCTTTACGTTTGCAATCTGCTCTGTGTGCAGAATGATCGCGCGAGCAGTCAAACAGAGAGTGCGTGTCAGGCTCCGCTTAGAAGACAATTTAGCGGAGGGTGAAGGTGCGTCCGCTTGGTTTCGCCGCGATTTTTCAAACGCGCTTGTCAGAAACGCGCAATCTATGCAGTTCCCTGCACACCCCGCACTGTCTTGGGACGCTACACATGCGCGTGGCTGAGCGTAAGCAATGCTCAACTTATAGCGACCTATTACTCAGGGCAGCATGCTGCCTAACGTCCAGGTGGTTAATTAACGATTAACATGCAGACAGTTAATTAATGCAAATTGCGTTCTCATTATTTTACGAAGAAGGAGTTGCTTTAGTCTCATACCCCATGGTTTTTTCAAGACACCCTTTCCCCTTCAACCACTTGCCATGTGGGGCTCAGATCTTGCTTTATACATAAAAATTTTTTTAATGTTTTCTTGGATGAAATAGGACACTTTCTGTTTTGATTAGCAGACAAACGGATACATCTAAATAAAATTTATTTTTGAAGATTCCTTTTAGAAATTTTTGCAGTAAGTGCCAAAACTTCAAATGCAATCTCCTCAGCTTCACATTTTTTGACAGCTTGACTAGCCTTACGGAACTTTTCGGTATGTTTTTGTGAGCCAATTTTAATAAATATTATACTGTGGAGCTATGCTATCTTTTATGGTTAACCTGAAGATATAGGATTTTGTGACCAATCATCTCAGTGAATTAAACTTCACAATTATGAAACATCAATACAAATGAAAATTTTCATATGATGATCCATCATCATATGAAAATTTTCAATTGTATTGATGTCAGCATCAATATAAATAGCAAAGCTACACATGGCAGCTACATATGGCAGTGATGCTGAGTGCTTTTTTCGACTCCCGCAGTGTGGTACATCACGAGTACGCACCACACAGTCAATCAACAAAGGGTACTACAGGAATGTCTTCCGTCATCTACGTGATGCTGTGCGGCTCAAAAGACCAGAGTTGTGGGCAACAGGAAACTGGGGCATTCATCACGACAATGCTCTTGCACATTCCTCACACTTGGGTCAGACTTTTTGCCAACGAAAAGTCAGTCTCCTGTAGTTCAACAAGCTCTTTACTCTCCTGATACGGCCACCTGCGACTTCTGGCTGTTTCCCAAATGCAAAGAGGACATTGAAAGGAGAGCAATCTCAGACAAGGGAGGACATTATGGCTGCAACGACAGCTGAGCTACACTCCATTCTAAAAGAGGCCTTCCCGGAATGTTTCCAACAATGGCAGAACCGGAGAAGTGTGTAGAGTCCCAAAAAGACTACTTTGAGGGGGATTAGATTTCCAACGGGAGAAGTGTGTAGAGTCCCAAAAAGACTACTTTGAGGGGGATTAGATTTCCAGTGCTCCAAAAATGCCAATTTTTTTTTTCTTCCACCAAAGGTTGCATACTTTTCTAACAAACATCGTATATGCCTCGATCACGTGCGTACATATCCGGGGTTGTTACTTAGCTAAGCTCTACCCACACAGTGACTTCAGCCGGCCGGAAAGGTGATATTTTAATGTTTTCGGTCCATAGAAACTTTTTCTGGTCGTCATACAGCTGATCTCCTGCTTTCATCGCACTCGCAGTCATAGGCTTGCGCACGCATAAAGGCGTAACGCATGTGTTTTCACCGTGCAAAATTACTTTCACTTGACCTCAACGTTCATATTAACAGTGACACACCGCTAGTTGCACTTCACTAGCCGACAAATTACAACGCACACAGCTCAGTTGCGCACGAAGGCAATGCACACAAACACGTGGTATGTCGGCATTATGTGATTGCAATGACACTGTGTCTGACTATTCTGATGGGAGGCTGTTGGCAACATGGTTTCGGTTTCGGTTTCATGCGCAGGCAAACTTTAGACTGTTTATTGGTAGAAAGATGCATGTTGGATTTTTATTTTTTTTTTAATATGGGATTAAAGATTCGCTCGCACCTCCACCAACTAAGTAATGCTGCCATTAGGTGCTACACGCAGAAATAATTTTACCTACCTTCCTTGCAGAAGCCCAAGGTCTTACCATAGGCTTATTCAGGTGGTCTGTACCGATTTTTTTGGCAAGGCTGAGTGTCACTCCTTATAATCAGCTTTTCTATTATACGCCGCCTGGATAACACAACAGTTTTGCGTCGTCCCCTAAAAGTCATAATCGGGCTTCCACGGTATAGTGCTCAACTAATGAGTTGCTTTTATAAGCCTGCCTGACAATTAGTGTTTGCAGCACCAGTGAAGGCTGGGTGATTTAATGGGGTGACAAATGCTGTCACAATGCAGCATCAAGGCTCTCAATTTAATTTTGGATTGTAATGAGTCACCTTTGTATGTACTGCACAAGACAGCAACAGCCACTGTGAGGGCCAGCTATCATGTTTCATTTGCTAAGCACTGTCTCTGCCAGATTGAATAAGCACCTACTAATCTGAGTTCTTACCTTCTTGTCAGCACCCAGTGACTCCTCACGAGTGAAAGGGAAGTCATACCAGCGGGGTCGTGTCAGCACCAGTGCATGTGAACGGCCAAAAAGATCCACAGTCGAAGGTGCCCGTTGCACATCCTGCGAGCCCACCAGCACTCGCACACCCACCATCACCAACGTTGGGTCGGTGTTCGTGATCTCCAGCGTTAAACCACCAGGCTTAGTGCAGGCCACATACATGCCTGTTGTGTTAAGCCGGTGCTTCACCTGCACAAAAGCACCCCCCCCCCCCACCAAATATTACTTATGACTGCCAGTGCTTTTGGACAGAAAAAAACCTATCTTTGAAGTTAAATCCCGTTTGTCTTACACCATGAAGGGCTAATAGCCAGCTCAGTGGCCCTTACAAGCTTTTTACAAGCTTGCTTATTTTGATTTTACAGGCATTTAAAACAAGGTATTCACAAGCATTCAAGGAAAACTTGCAACAATAGGTTTGTTCATACACTCAAACCACCATATAACGAACCTGGATATAACAAAATAAAGAAAAAAAGTGATCTTGCAATAGATACAGTTGAACATGAATATATTGAACCTTCATATATCGAATTTTCGGGTATACCGAACTCGCAAGTTATCCCCTTGAAATTCCTTTGAAAAAGTATAGAAATTCGCACATTTATATGGAACGCCATTTTTATGTGCCGTTCCGATATATCAAACAACGCATGAGCTAGAAAGTGCGCTTCGGCACTCACTGCACCCCGCGATCTCCGCGGTAGCGTGGCTTCACACACGAGTTGGAAGTACGCTTAGGCACTCGCAGCACCCGGCGACCTTCACATGGCCCCGCGCCTCCGTTTAAGCCCGAAACGCTCGAAAAAAGGTAAAAGCGAGAGGGCTCAGACTACATGGTCTCCATCTTGCAGAACGGCTTTTTTTTTTTTCCGATCCTCTCTCGCTCATGCTTTCTACACGTACCCGCCGGCTCGAAGGGCAGGAACGAAGGAGCGAACGACCTCCTCCTTTCGCCTTTTAATTTTTTGTTGCTGTTTTGAGAGTTTTTATCAGCCAACCCCAGCTCGCACCTTTTGCTGTTGCCATCACCTAGCGAGTGCTTTGTAGGCGGAGTCCGCTTGAGTTGTTGCCTTGTCTATGTACCACCACATGTGCATCATTCTTCTTTTGCGTGCATGGTGTGCAGGTCGCTGCCGACTCTTTGAATAGTCTACTTCTCATGTAGCTATAGCCAGCATCAAGGAGTGCAAGACAGTTGACTTTGCGACGAAGTTGAAGGCTAATCAGCGTGTTGAGGTGGGCGAGAAATGTTCGATGGTCGCGGACGACTTTAGGATACCATGGAGCACTCAGAGTACAATGTTGAAGAACAAGGTAGATAACAAGTGTAAGGAATGAGAGGAACTGCCGGGGGGTTGGGTATGGTTGACGGTCAAGGAACGAGGTGGCGAGCGTCACATGAACAGCGAAGGAGCGCACGGGAGCGCACAATCATTTATTCTCCATGTGGCATGGAGAATAAATGATTGTGCGCGCGTGGTTGCGTGACTTCAAGTGTATCGTTGTGCGTGACACAAGGCAAAGGTGATGAAGCAGCAAACGTTGGGAGCCTGTCGTGTGATGGCAGAACTTGCGGAAACCGATGGAGACAGCGATGGCTAGCGCTTAGACGTGTTTCGTAAGTTGTCCCTCTTCCCGACAGCTGTTTCACACGTAGTGTCTCCGTTGCGAGCTTCGCTGACGAGGCCATAGTGGCTGCAGTCGCAGGAACCCAGGATGCTCAGGCCGACAGCTCAAATGATGAGGAGGATCGTCTGGACAAGGCGGTGGCTACTTGAGCATACACTACCGCTGAAGTGGCGGCAGCATTCACTGTTGTATCAGCGACATTGAGGAAACCGGGCTGTCGCAACTGGGCAGCCTTGATAAGATCGAGACTAGCATATTCAACTTCATTTCGAAAACGAAGAAGCAGGCCAAGATAAGCGATTTTTTAAGGCAAATAAATCATTCTGTTGCGGGGTATGTGTGGAATTAGTTGCATTCTTGAATGCGCCCATTGTAGGTGATGATCTGCAACAGGTGAGCTCTCGGGCACTGTATTTTTTATATTAAATTTTCGATATATCAAACTAATTAACGATTTCTTTCGAGTTCAAAATATCTGTGTTCCACTGTATAGTGTTAGGAATAAACCTTCATAAGGAACTTTTGGATACAACAAACTAATTTTCATATGAGATACAACACTTTTATAATGAGGTTTCAGTGTAAACTTTTGTGTCACTCTAGTTTGTCCCACATCGTTCTTTCTTCATTGATAACGTTTCGTTATGACGCGCAAAAAATTTACACTATGCACAACTAACTGGGCCTTACCCCTCGCTCTTTCAGGTTTGCTTCCCAACCTACTTGTCTATAAGCAACACCACCGCTTCTCACTGATGCTCATGAACAAAAATAGATGCTTCAAAGCATACTGACAGTGACAAAAATCCTTCAAGGGGGGACGCGGCCTTTGAAAACGAAAAGATCATGAAAAAGTCAATTTTTCGGAAACCCCATATTCGAGCAGTACGTGTCATAAACTACCTTTTCTGTAAATATCAACGTCTAACTCATCGGGAAACTGTTTGAAATAAAGTCTACAACAAGCTGCCGTAGCCCACAAGCGACACGGGAGCGCTCAATATAGCCCAACCTGGCGCGATTGCAGTTTCTCGACCGGTTGACTGAGCTCCGCCATTTTGGTGTTGTTTTGTTTGTGAATTCTTGCACTTTCTTTTCCTGCCACTTGCGGCGGCAGCGCAGAAGAGGAGCAAGCTGCTCATGACTGGAAGGCTCGCGAGAGCTTTGAAGTTTCCCGCGGCTGACACGTGTCGCCGGGATTGGGCGATACGCGGACGCTCCTCAAGGACGAGAAGGACCCTGCGACTGCGATTGGCTGCTGCGCGTGATGACGTAGTACTCTTGCACATAATGCGGCTCTCCGTCTGCTGCTCCTCCATGCCCGGCGTTCCGCTCGCTATCGTTTATCGTTGCAGCCGTTCGCATACTCTCTGCGTTGAGACAGTTTTCACGAAACGATTTTCAAGCGTTTTCACGAGACAATTTTCAATCCGTCTTTACGAGACCATTGTTGCATTTGCTCGCGATGCGTCCAACGAAAAGGAAGATGCAACAAGTGTTCGGTGCAAGGAAGCGATCTATAAAGGTTGTCCGCATGGCGAGGCTCTTCGCTCGCAGGTGCGTCGACAGTGATCGCGCCGACAGTACATGTGGAGCAGCTTCTTCATCTAAGCAAGAGTGCGGAGACACAAGACTCCTGCTCTACCGGTGCAAAAATTAGACATTGCAAGTGCGCCTCATGTCTCGCGCTCATCGACAGGGGCTTCCACATCCTCTTTTTCATAGGCCTCTGACAGTGCGATCGTGTCATAAACTGTGCACTTGCGAACACGTTTTCTGACTTGCGAAGAGAAAGAGGCAGTGGATCAACAATGCACTGCTGTTCAAAGAGAACTGGCGCTATGCCAGCGACGAAGCGGAAATTTCAGGCAATGGAGCGCGACCTCGCCATTCAACGGGCAGCCGAGAAAGACTCACTGTGCTTGCAAAATGCTAGGAAGAGATCCTTCGAGAAGACAAAAAGGCAGCGAAAAAAGAGAGTGCCAAAGGACACCTCCAGATATGCTGCAGGGTTGTTTTAGATTTGCATATGTGCCCAAAACTTTCAAATGCGTTATCTTAAAATAACTTTTTTGGCTAGTGGGGCTGCTTGTTCCAGCCATATCTGGGGAACCACTCATCTTATTTTTATAAGTCTTTTTTTATTATGTACGTGAGTCTTTTTTTATTATGTACGTGAATAAATTTCTTAGGGGAAGACAAGCCTATTTTTTCAATATATCGTGTCTGTTATTTATGATACCTAATAAAAACTCGTTTAATATTATCCCAATCACCAACACTAAATTTCATGGTCTGCTTAAACTTTTCAGTAAGAAAATTCAAAAAAGAGCTTTGTTACCCCCTGAGGTATCAATCTGATATTCATCATTGTTAATTTCACAGTTCCATCATCTTTTGAAAGTTCTGCTGGCCTGAAATAAGAGAACTATGTGCAGTATTCTGACAGACTGCCGTAACTGGAGAGCCAGTGAACATAATTTCATGAAATTTTGTAATAGTTCTAATGCTTTTTCTATTAGTCTATCCTGAAAATTTCATTGAGATATCTCAAGAAACAAAAAAGTTGGTATCTGATGGTAGCCTCACCCTTTAATGACGTGTTACCAAAGGTTGGTTGAAAACTAGTGCCTGGACATGAAGTCTAGAGTTTGATGGAAACCTGTCTCTTCCGACAAAAGACACGAGATAAATTAGATTGAACCCCGACCACGAAAGTTCACATAAAAACTGGACATTTCAGCTCCAGCACAGGAGCCTGATTCACAATGAAAAATGAATGCACACAACATTCAATTTATGTGCTTTAAAATGTGACATAGGCAACGTGCGTACACATGTGGACAGTTGCAGGCATTACAATGAAGCATGTGTGCTGCTGTCTGAATTGTAAAAGATTCAAGAAAAAGCTAATAAGCCCAGCTCATTTCTCTTGAAGTTATCTTTGCCTTACACCTGCCTATATTGTGGTAAAATACTTCTGTGTGTTCAGCCAGCATGTTGAATGAAACCCTCTTTCATACGTGTATTTTAGTCCACAGTGTCTAGACATGTCCAGTTAACTTACAGCAGATGCTGTGTGCCAAGTCTTTTGCATACTTCCTGCCTGGTCAGACAAAAAACATTAATGGGAAATATTTAAACATAACATCATAAATTTCGTGCTAAAAAAAACGAACACATGTGAGAAGACAGGATAGGCAGGTACAGTGGATTGGGTATATCAACTCGTACTTATTGAATTATTTGCTATATAGAACAGCTCATGAATTCCTGTTAATTTCCCATGCGAAAGTATAGTACTGCTGTATATCGAACTCCCACAGAGCGTAACATTCTCTATATCGAATACTGCGCCATGCCGAAGCCCAGAAAGTGCATTTATTCTGACAAAGACCGATCTTTTTTCGTCTGCGTTCAACATATTTCGTTGCCTCCTCGCGTGCAGGTATTCAAAATACGATGTAAATTGTTGGTTATGTACTATTCGCAAGAGCACCAGCACCTGATGCGCAATCTGCTGTATTCGCTGTTTTCAGAGGGGCCGATTACTGAGG